TATATATATATATATATATATATATATATATAAGCCACAATTTGTTGCAAGGACTGATTGAACCAATTTGGTAAAAATTTGATAGAATAACAAAAATTCAGGTGGAACCCCCTCCCTTAACTTCCAAAGACTAAAATTTAAATGGATAAGCAGTAGGACGTACGGTTCGTGTTCAGGCATACTGCTCGTATTCTGCTATTACATTTTTTTTTTACAGCATGAAGCTGACGCGAAACGAAAGTAGCGTCTGATGCCACGCTTAGCACAGATATCTTTGTTGATCGCCCATCTATATTCTTTAGACCTGGATGGCGGATGACGCATACCGTCGTGCCATCTCCGTGAAATTTTTGCTCGTTTGCTGTTAAGTGCAAAGCCACAGAATGGGCTATCTGTGCCGTGCCCACGGCAGGGATCAAACCCCGAAGTTTAGCGTTATGAATTATCAAGCTTACCGTGAGCCATTGTGAACCACCATCTTCGTGAAGCCAACGAAATAAATGGCGCGAGTACATTTGCTAGTATATATATATATATACGAGAGTACCGGTATAGGATACACTTCCTTCATTTTATATACGCAGTTTCCCTTGTTAAGTAGTTACAATTCGAGCACTGCATACAATGCATTTCCATAAACATTGACTCAAGGAATGCATGGACCAATGGAATTTATGAGAATCGTTTCATATCAATAGAGCCTTTGAACGAACTTTGTTACGGTTTAAAGTGCACTGTATAAAAGTACACTATATCAACAGACCAATTTCGCATTTCAACAGATGTATCATTTTCTCTTGTGAAACCGTAAAACGCTTTTCTATGGAGCTTTGTTTGTTTTTGTTTAAACGCAAGGCTGCACAACAGGCTATCTACGCCGTGCTCACTGTAGGGATCCAGCCCAAATTTTAGCCTGATAAATCGTTTGGCTTACCAATGAGCAACGGGGGAGGGGGAGGAATCAACATTTATGAATAATTCATTTATGTAGCCTTAAATTAAACAGAAAAATCGTTAAATCCCATGGCTACATACATTTTAAGTTGGAGTTTTCACCAAATTAAAAAAAAACTTTAGCAAGCTTTCGAATTTAGCGAAAACTACTATGAACCACTTAATGTTTGTACAATATTTAAATGAAATAGGTTGTCGTCCGGGTATCTGTTTCAATTTATGTCATATTCACGCAACAAGCTACTCTCGTGCTATAAATTCAATGATCAAAATTGTAATGATTTTTTTTACAACTTTTAATGTACACACGTTAAAAAATTCACATTTAATCAAATAACATAAGTAATCAGAAAAATGTACTTCATAACACTTTTTTCTATAATTTTAAGATTTTAATAATGTTTTTTCGATATTCTAAATCCATTGTTTTGTAGTTTTACTTTCATAGAGATCTTATTATTTTATTTGCTTTAGGGTATTTCGTTATTAGTGCAACTTGTTTTTATTTCCACGTAAAAGCTTTAGATCGGGCCAATAAAACATTTTTCGAGTTTTAGACGTTATCCGATACTGGTACACTTTTCAAGTAAATCCGTGCAGCCAATTCTAAGAGACTCAAAACCGCATTGATCTCACATTAAAGGGCACAATGTGAAATTCTGGTATCTAAATGTAGATATATTTTTTGACTGATCCCTTGCATGTCCACAACAATTTTCCTGTATATCAGTACAACTATTCCCGAGAGGTTGTCTAATACCTTTGGATCCCTATTTGGAGACTTCAGTGCGAAAAAATTTAAAAACCTAGACGCAAATACTTAATTTTGAATTATATTTTGCGTTTACGTCAGTGTAACCAATCCTGAGAGCTCCTATAGGCCCCTTGGTCTTTTACGGGTCCCAGCGGAAATTTTTGAAAATCTAAGCGTAGATACCTTTTTTGACTGATCCTTTACTTATACATCAGTGTTCAAACTTGTTAATGCTCCCCCATATGGTGGCTAAAATTTTGATATAGTTTTTGTTTTGATTAGTTCTTGACAAATGAATACCATTTCACAGGTGAGTCAGTTGAGTTAAACCTGAAACTCCCAAATTCATTGACTCCTAGGTTTTGGGGTCCCTTCACAACTCTTTAAAAATGTTTTGAAGCTCAAAGACACTTTGTCCACATTCGTAGGAAGAGTTTTAAAATCAAGTAAACATAGATACACAGGTACAGTTGAGAAATACTATGCTTATACTTTTCCGAGCTGCAGATCGGAAAGTCCAAGGTTCGAGACCATTATATTATACCCGTGGCAATTACTCTTACTATTCGGTTAAAAACAACCAATAAGATATTGTTCTGGTTAAAAATACAACGCTAGAATCCGGGTTTCGATACCCGTGGTGGGCAG